CAACCTGATTTTGGTGGGTATTTGTTTCATATTCGTTGCGTGTGTCATATCTTGAATTTAATTGTGCGAGATGGTTTAAAACATATAAATGATGAACTTCAAAGGATTAGGAATGCATTAGTATATATTACGATCTCTCCTACTAGAAAATAAGCATTTGAAGATTTTTGTACCGAACTACGGGTGACGACTGCTAAAACATTTGTTAGCGACGTAGGCCATAGATGGAACTCTACTTGCTATTAAAATCATGTGAAGGTTTCAAACATTTAATAACTGATTTTTATAACAATAGACATGTTAGAAGTAATGACGATGTTATGTTAAATGAATCCGATTGGATTTTAGTTTTGAAAGTTAAACGATTTTGACATCTTTTTATGAGACCACAAAGATTTTATTCGACATTTATTATCCCACAAGTTGTATGGTTCTTGAATGCCTTTATATAATTGTAAGAACATTCCATAAATACAAAAATGATCCTACTTTTAGTGAAATTATAATTGTTATGAAATTAAAGTTTAGAAAATATTGGAAAGAACTGCCTATGTTATTTCCTTTAACATGCGCAATGGACCCTCCATATAATATTTCAGGAACTAAATATGTAATTGATCAAATCAATAAAGCTTTAATACTTGATACACCTATCACTTATAAGAATTTAGAGCAAACATTATGTGGAATGTATGATTTATATGCGGAAAAGAATGGGTGCGAATGTTAGTCGGATACCCTCTGCACCTACTCCTTCTGCTGAAATTGAAGAAGATGATGTCGAAATAATGAATTTATTTCAAGGCATTAATACATTTAGATATTATGCAAATGCAATGTGCTCATCTAGTGCCATGTCGTCTATATTTGCATCTCATCAAATATCGGCCGAAACTCAAAATGCGATGCCTGCCGAATTAATTGATTACTTCAATCATAATATGCCAACAGACAGAACAATCAAAAAAAGTTCAGAAGAAGTAATTGAATTCTGGCGAAAGTATGAAAGATGTTGGCCAATTGTTTCTGTAATTGCGAAAAATCTGCTAACACCTCCAGTTAGCACTGTTGCTTCGGAGTCTGCTTTTAGTGCAAGTAAAAGGGTTTTGACCGATATCAGGAGCCGACTAAAAGAAAATGTTTTGGAAGCGTTAATGTGTGTGAAGGATTGGCAAGACTCTCATTTTCGACTACAAGATAAATATGCTGAAATTGTATTTCGTCAGGTAAGTGATATTTGATTTAATTATATTAATCATAATTTCTTTATTTTTTAATCATTAAATTTAATTTTCTTTAAAAAATTGTACACGTTACAACAAGTTGTTCGTGTACAATTTTTAACTCCGCCTACTTAAAATTGATGTAGCCAGTCCCAAGTCCGGATAAAGGAGGATGATTTACATTTTATCTACTTTAAAAAGAAATAAAAAAAATATTTTTTGTAAATATATTTCAAAAAATAATTCGTCTTCATTATATAAATATTTTATATATTATAAAAAGTATTACAATATGATATAAATAAAAAAAATTTATTTTCGTTAAATTATTTGTATTTTTTAACACCTTTTTTTTAAGTGTTTTCTATTATTTCATTTATTTGTAAAACTCTTAAAAAAATATTGACGAGCCCACAAGCTCGCCCAAATTGAATGAGCCGAGCCCGAGCTCGGCCGTTCAAAACTAGTCACGAGCTCGGCTCGTCACGAGCGCGAGCCGAACCTAGCTCTTGTGATTTGCCACCACTAGTTGCAACATTGCACCTGTACGAATTCTATGAAAAAGTCCCTTGTACTCGGGGAAGTGCAGATTTTTATCCGTTCTTTCATAACAACCATATGTCTTGGTACAATTTCATTCAATCTACCTTTGTCTACTAACTGTTGGAAAAATCCCAACATTTGGGGCCTCACATGTTTATCTAACTTCTAATAAAAATGGGAAAGAGAATCTACTATTGATACAATAATAAATTAATCCAATTTTACTATGTATGATGTCATTTTTTTCTATTTTATTTATGTCAAACAAATGTTCTTCCATACATCATGCTACTAACATTAAAAAAATAATTATGTCAAACAAATGTTCTTTCACACATTATGTCACTAGCATTAAAAAAAATTATAATAATTTTAGTAAATATAAACTGCCATGAGCAAAAAAAAAAAAAATTCTTTGCACATGAGCTTTAAAAATAAACTCTCCGCACAGTGTGGATAGATGTCAAATCATGTGTGGAGAGTCTGCCAACTTTCCGTACAGTGAAATGTAAAAAATAAAAAAATTCTCCGCACAGTGCGGTGAGATGGCATTCTTTGCAGACATTGTCCTCACAAAGTGCGGACTCTCCATACATGCGGAGTAAAAAAAAAAAAAATTTCGCACAGTGCGAAGAGTTGGTAAACTCTCCGTACAGTGTGAAGTTAAAAAAAAACCCTCTCCGCACAGTGACTGTCACATGCGTTGCACGAATTTTGCATATATCGTATTTTTATTAGTGTATGAATTTTAGTTTTTTGGAAAGTTTTTAAAGTAGTATCTAGAAATATTTTCATGATATAAGAATATAATTACAAATTATTTTTACAATTGTATAACAGTATTGTGTCATCTAAAAAAAATATATTTGTATATTTCATACTTGAATAAGAAATATACAATATTATACAAATTATTTTGTTTGTATTCTTTGATAGTGTGGATATGATTGAGTTAAATGTGAAAATTATATTTCTAAATTTTGTGTCATTAAATATTGGAAAATTGAAGATTGAGCACCATATTCATATGCATTTATATTTTGTATTTCATATATATTTAATATTTATTTTATACTTATATTGAAAAAATAAAAATCTGAAAATTTTTTTAAAATTCGTTTTGGTAAGTGAATGTACGGTGTTTTACATTCTTGGTATTTGTAAGTGTAAAAATCGGTATATAAAAATATAGTAAGTTGCAAATACGATAGGCAGTATATACGGTAAGTTGCAAATACAATAGATATCATATACTATAAACTGCAAATACGGTAAGGTGAAAATACAGTAAATTGTTTACAAATACGATAGGCTGGAAATATGGTAATTTACAAATACGCTAGGCAGCATATACGGTAAGGTGCAAATACGGTAAATTGTTTACAAATACTGTAGGCTGCAAATACGGTAAACTACAAATACGATAGGCAATATATACGGTAAGCTGTATATATGATAAGTTGCTTGCAAATACGGTAAGCTGTATATATGGATTTATAATTTGTTATAAATGTATAAAATTTATTTAATATTGAATTTCTTAAGTATTAAATGTTGTAATTCAATATTGTTTTCTTTTTTATAATTGTATTTTCGAGAATTAAAAAAAAGTGGTTATGAATTTTTAAATGTGTTTTTTTTTGTTGAAGATAAAAATGATTTTTTTATGTTATTTGTAAAAAAAAAATTATTGTAATTTTATTAGCTTAATAAGAAGATTTATTATGCATTTTTATTTTTTGCATTTTGTGAAAAATTTTGTTTATGGTGATTGACAAATATTATTCCACACATGCATCATGCCAACAACATTTAAAAAATAATAATTTTAGTATATATAAACTCCATGAGACAAAAAAAGACTCCGCAAAGTGCGGAAAGATGGCAAACTATTTCTCTGTACATTGTGAAGAGAAAAACAAAAACTCTCGGGACTTTATCTGCAAGTTCCAAAAAACATTTTCTTAAACAACTTTTTGAGTAATATATTGAATACTTTAATTCCTGGCATGGAGAGTTGGTTTGTCATCTCTCCGCACTGTGCGGAAAGTTTTTTTTTTTTTACTCTGCACTGTGCAAAGAGTTTGCCAACTCTCCGCACATGATTTAACTCTCTCTGCACTTTTTTTATTCCGCACATGATTCAACTCTCTACGCACTGTGCGGAGAGTTTTGCCATGGTGCGAACCAACTCTCCGCACAGTGGGGAGAGTTTTTTTTTTTTGCTTTCCGTACTGTGCGGAAAGTTGGTTTATCATCTTTCTGCACTGTGGGGAGAGCTTTTTTTTTTACTACGCACTATGCGAAGAGTTTGTCAACTCTCCGCATTTACTCCGCACTTGGTTCAACTCTCTTCACACTGTGCGGAGAGTTTTTTTTTTTCAATTTTACAATATTGTAATTATTTTCTTATATCATGGAAATATTTTTAAATATTGCTTCAAAAACTTTCCAAAAAACTAAAATTCATACACTAATAAAAATACGATAAATACAAAATTCGTACAATGCACGTGATAGCGACTAGTATATTAAAATGTGTGGTGTTATTTTAAAGTTTAGTTGATAAAGTGATCCATTAAATTTATTTTTAGACTAATGAGTATTAAATGTCATAGGAATAAAGTGTAGAGAGCGATAAAAGTTATTTTGAATTGATGAAGGGCTAATTTAAAATAACATAAAATTAATAACTACCAATTGCAGTTATTTATTATGGGGTCATGGTCCCCGATTGTATTTGATTTTTGATTTCTCTAAATCCCCATCAACAGAAAAAAATTTCCAAGAAAATTGCGTAACAATTAGAAGATCATAACCCGTTCACGACATTGAAATCTATGGATCAAGGTACGCTTATGTCTTTTTAATCTTCTCTTTTATTTCAACTTGAAGAATCTATGTATCTTATGAAAGGATTTATAAAACATTGGTTCCTTTCAATTCTTACACTAAAATGCGGATAGAATAAAAAATGTCCACTGGGGCGGATAATCAATTTCATATTTACTAAGTTTTTTATATCGTTACATTATATTTTTCTCTCTTATTTCAACTACATAATTTTTTCATAAAATAATATTATAAGTAAATCGAAAAAAAAATTTCTTTTTCAACCACTCATTTTTCAAACTATTCCGGCCATTTTCATTTAGAAAAATGGGAGTCAAACAGGGGCATAATTTAATCATATTATATTACAAAATTTAAAACTATAATATTTTAGATAAATAATATTTAAAATATGCAATCCAAGTGCTCTGAGATCATGCACATTATCTATATAATTTATTACAATAACACTACAAGAAAAACAAACTTTCACAACATTATTTTTGCAACATTTAATAATTGCATGTTGCTTAAAGGATGTTTTCAAAAGTCGGTAATTGGATATTACCGTTGATTAACTTAATTGAAATTTGACAATAATACTACAATGCATCATACTAATGTAACCATTTTCAACACAGAATGTCACCAAAAGGTTTTCAATTACACATATCGCTTGAGAAAGTCTTCCACAGTATCATACTTAACCTCTGGATAAAGTTTGGATGCCTCTTCTTCATCTCCTATCTTAAAGCTCGCAAGGCATCCTTCGTAGAAAATATCGTGATAATGGCTTAATCCCACTTGTTGAGCATAGTCAAGCCCTGACATGAAATAAATCAAAAGAACATAAAATTTTGCTCGCATTACATATTTGTTGGAAAATGAATCTAATATGCGTGTCAGAAGGCGTCGAAAACATGCAATACCTTTCATGGAGTCCAAATAATCTTCCTTTGATACGGTAATCTTTTGGAGTTCTTTCCCAATAAGCTTCTCCCATGTCTGAACAACTTCTCTTTGCGAAAGGATGTTTTCTGGAGGACTAATGTAGATTGTCTTGTTAAGGGTTCTTGGATCATCAATTGTTTTGATGGTGTAGGTTGCTATATCATCTTCATTGTTATATATTGCTGCCCAAATCAAAGACAACAAATTGTAAGAAACCAAGCCTTTTTTTTTTAATAGATTTAGGGAGTTTGTTATATGGATTCGCCACTATGTTCGATTCACTGATACCTTTTTTGTTTCCATCTCCATGTAAAATGACAACATCTCTGGAAGGAAGAACTTTGCCAATTTGACAAAGACCTCCCACAAAATAGGCTGCAAAGCAATTTGCAGAGACATATGTGAAAGGAATCCCAGCCTCTTCAATTGCTTTCCTTACAATCATCTTCTCATCAAGTGTCACCTTTCCGGGTTCCATGGCCGTATCAATTAACTTTCCAGGATCCATTCCAAACTCTGACGGTAAAAATCTCTACAAAAATCCATTTGATGTGCATTTCGCGGCATTGATATATACAGTCAGAAAAACATAATCGGGATAGGTAAAACCCTGCATTACTTACTATGAAAACAATAATCAACTTTCCTACAAGAAATTTCACTTTTTATGAGAAAACTTTTCTTGACTAAACAAGCCGAAAATGACTTCTTAGTTGTCAAAAGTGAAACCTCTTGTAGTTTGACTCGTTGCTCCAAAAATAATTAGACAGCACAATTGACTGGTAATTGAGAAAAATACATGAGCTGATTATATTGTGGAGTCTTGATAATATTATATAACAAATCGATTATGCTAAATGTATATTATGGTGTCCATAACGTACAAGTGACATAACATCATTAGAGAGTTGAAAAACAATTTTTTCACCCTTTCAATCATAGAATTCCATATGTATATTATGGACACCCTTATAGATACCATAATATATACATGTAAAATTATCCATAACAAACATACATACCAAGTAATGCTCTAATGTTGTAGTTTGACTTGCTCTTAACATAATTAGCCCATGTTTTGTACCGCTAAAAATTTTGACTAAAATCTAAATTAAAATCGACAATTAGTTTTAACAATACATTTCATAAGATCCACAACTTTTCAACCACATATTTCATCGACTTTTATCAAAATTTATTAAAAATTTGATTTTGATCTCTATCAAACATGGGCTTAGTATATTTTGTAAGGTAAATTGGACAACACCGTGCACTAGTAATTGAGAAAAATAACTAACCCGGTTATATCGTCCAATCTCAATAATACCCCGTTTGGCCCATTATTTGGTATTATAATTTTTGGAATAATATTTTTTAAAGAATGCATGGTTGAAGAATAAAAAAAAATGTTTTTAGTTTACATGTAATATTATTTTATGAAAAATTATGTGGTTGAAAATAAAAAGGAGAAAAATTATAACGTGAAATAATTAATGGGAATTATGTAACAAACATGCAGCCTAAGTAATACTCTAACCTTGACATTTCCAGCCTCTTTAATAGCTTGAACGAGCTTGAGTTGAAGCAGAATTTGATGACTCCGAGCATGCACGCCAGAGATCGCGCTGATTACTACGTCGACCAGCTTCACAGCCTCCACCAGACTGTTGTAATCCTTGAAAGAACCTGGTACAAGATGAGCTCCTTGCATTTTGAATGACACTAATATTTCAACTTTTTCAATATCAACACCAATTTCAGGCCTATTCAGAATGTATGTTTCATGACCTTGAGCTAAACTAGCCTTAACCAGTCTCTTCCCTATGTACCCTGTACCCCCAGCTATCAAAACTTTGCTTTTTCCCATCTCTCTCTCTCTCTCTCTCTCTCTCTGTGTAGATTTCTCTTTGTATACGAGGATGTTGTGGTTAATGCGTTTGTGGCGTATTTATAGCCCATGTTTTGCCCCTATTTATCAAATTATATTTTATCCTCAAATTCATTTTTAATCATATATTTTAAGGGATTTATAATTTTTATCAACTTTTTAATCACATATTTTTTTCAACTTTTATTAAGATTTACAAAAAATAAAATTAAAATTAAAAAATATGACTTTTATCTAGACCAAACGAGGGCGAATGTGTTCCTAGGGTTTGAATTTGAGAGTATGAATATGTTACATACCAACGACTTTGGTCTACTGCATGTGAAAGACGTATGTAACAACCTATATGAATGGTAGTCTGAAAATTTTCTACAAATACGTGAATAGTCAAATCAACTTTTTGAACTATACAATTTAATATATTTTAGCTAATAGTATACACTCAAATAAATAAAAAATAGTTGTCAGAGTATTGGAGCAGGAATTAAGTCATTTGTATTTGTTTGTTGACACTTTGAGTTACCCGACCCCACCAGTCCTCTCATATGAGGTCGGGTCTCATGTAGAGGTCATGATGTAGGGTCCGACCCCTATGTGAGAGGAGGAGATGGGCTCGAGTAAATCAAAGTGTGAAAAAAGAAGTACAAGTAGCAAGACCCTATTCACATTCTCGTTAAGGAAAACATAAATATTTTTAAAAATATGCCCTGTTAAAAATCATCAACTTGAAAATGTAAGTGCTACATTGAAAGGTTGAGTTTGAATCTACACAATTACGTGAAATGGAATTACTGCTTTTGTAAGATGGAAAATCAACGTTAAATTTGGTATTTCAAAATTAACTCTGAACTTTTTTATTTTTTTACCCTTTGGATGTGTAAAAGCTAAGCAAAATTTGGTCCGGCATGGGGGCAACCCCAGCCAAGTTGGTCGGGCAGTTGGACTAGCAATCGCGAGGTTGCTAGTTTGATTCCCGTTGGAGCTGCCTATCGACTTTCTTGGTTTGAGCCGGTCAGCTATGGGTAACCTAGGCTGGTTTACCTCCTTGTGGTCCTTTGCCGGCTAGGATCACAAGGCGGGGTTTACCTAGTGCGCACCTTCGGGTAGCGACTGCGGATTCCCTTGTTAAAAAAAAAAAAATTTGGTCCGGCACCCAGTTGGTATCTAGGTTATTCCCCTTGCGGTATCTGAAACAAAAAAATTAAATGGTTGTTTCCAACATGTCAAAATGATGTATCTGAAGCATATGACAAACTCGCAGTTTGGTAGGGACAAACCCTATTGCAGAATGGAAAAAGTCACTTGTCTAAGCTTTTCCTTCGTAGATATTTTACAAGTGCGGGAGCGACTGACTGATTCCTTTTTTTTTTTTTTTTATATATATATAAACTATCAATGTAATGATGTTTCTTTTCTTGAAATTCATGGTTTCTTTATATTTATTTATTTAGCTCCATTTGGTGTAGTTAAAAATCATTTTTTTTTTTTTTTTTGTAAAAATTGATAAAATATGTTATTGAAATGTTAATATAAGTCGTGGATTCCATGAAATGAGACGTTAAAATTAATTATTTGACTTTAACTTAAATTTATAACAAATTTTTAATCTGCATCAATTAAGTGTGTAAGTTATTTCGTGTCTATACGAGGATAACATACATCTATTTTGGCTCGCACGTTTTGGCTCGCACGTGTCACATGCAAAAGAAACACACAAGTTAGGTTACAGAGTCTTTAAGGTAGTGGTAATAATGATAATAGATATATATATATAAGTTAGATTTTATTAGTATTGATCTTATTCTGTGGCCGAGCTACAAAGCATTACTCACATACATGTGTATGATGAAATACTGCAGCTCGCCTTGTGTCTCACATTTGTTTTGTACAACACATTTTTTTTTCTAAATTTCTAATATTATTTCAGTGAAATGCTTTAATCTCAAAATTTTCTTTATAAAAATAGGGCCGGGGGGGGGGGGGCGTTTTAATCTATCCCCCGACCCGGCGACCCCAAACAGCCCGAAGAAAATGATTTTTCAATGTATTATTCTTTGAGAAATTTAGCCCAGTAATTAGAAAATAAATTAAACTTCAACTTTTTCAATTTTCAATATATAATAGTTAATGTTACAACAAACTATAAGTACAAAACCACAGAAATAAACAAGAAAGATTACAAGAAAAAGAGGCAGAAAATAGAATCTTCCAGTCGTTCACAGAGAACTCAAACCACACGGCATCAAGATGAAGTTCCTTTCTAGAATAGGGCTCAGACTCAAAAAATACAGGTTTGTACCCTTCTGTATGACCCACACTGATCGCCCCAAACCCTAAGGTTTTCCTCTATCAGTTAAAGGAAACCACAAGGGGTAAAATCACACACCAAACTCTCCAATACACACAGTATTATGTATCACAAAGACGGAATCACACAGAAACCAGATCCAATCAGAGATTGGATTCTCACGAAGAAGAAGAGAGTATAGAAGACTCTGGAACCTCAGCCGCAGCTGGAGAGAAGGGAAAATGTCGGTCCAAGTGAATTAGGGCAAAAGAGGCCAAGTATATATATACAACAAAAACCACCCTTAGATCAAATTTAATCCGACGATCAGGAGGGATCCATATAACTGAAGAAAGGCTTGTTTGGCTGCATTAAAATATGACACGCCAAAACACGTTTTATCTACCATTGGGCCGGGGCGGATCGGGTCATGTTATTGGGCAAGAGCCTAAATTGTTAAAACAGTTATTGAGCTTTAGTCCATTTGTCATCACAGCCCAGAAAGAGGTCATTGGTCATCACAGCCCAACAACCTCCACCTTGATGCCAATGGGATTTCTGAGCACTTGCAGCCCTCCTATTGACACC